GTTGTTTAAAAAAAATAAAAAATGCTCAGGTATGGTTATTTCCATTACTATCCTCTCTCCTCTTTTTTCCAATTCATCTGCCCCGTCCCTTCCCCCTCTTCCTTCGTATCCCTTTTTTTTTTCCTTAGACGTCGGCGACGGCGGCAGGGTTCCACCAATAGCGGCGGTATTGCCCTCCGGCGACAGCAACACACACTCCCTCCTCATCCTTCCTCAGTTTCTCAAGTCGACCTTGCGTCCTCGAACCTATATAACCAAAGCCGCCGCCGCCACTCTCATCTTCCTCTTCATCCTCTTCTTACTATTCCTGTCGACATTCTCTACCTCATTTTCTACCCTCTATATCGTTAAAGTCTGACTGAAACAGACCCTACATCGCCATCGTCTGAAATAGCTGGGATTTCGCCGGAGTTTGATGTTAGAAGCAGGTGGGAATCCTTGAAGACGTCGAAAACGAAGGCTCAAGTCCAGTGTCGAAAAATGAACGAAGAAGGAGGGGGGAAAAAAGTCTATCCATAGGTTCAGATCTACATCTATCGCCCATAGGGATGCGCCGCCGAATGATAAGAAAACTGGGAGACGAAGGGAAAGAGGAGGCGGGAGGGATCAAGGAAAAGAGAAGAGAGGGTCCGAGGAACATCCTTCTGATTAGCGTCTTTATGCCTTGAAAACTGTCCATTATATAAAAAATATGCAAAGAAGGCACAAGGAAACCCGTATTCTCAGATTTAAAAAAATTATCCAAATCTCTCGTGCGAAAAAATGGGCTAAATTTAAGTCCACCCCAAACATCATCTTCTGGCGCCAAATAAACGGTGGATGAGAAATCGTCAGACTCTGGATGCTTTTATTTTTAAGAAATAATAAATTAATGAAAATGATTAAATGGACATCTCAATTAAATTTATTTGAGTTGTAACATTTTGATTGGTCAGAGTTCAGATTAACTGGCATAAGTATTTCTCTGCAATGCACATGTGGCTTATTATTATTATTATTATTGAAGTCGGGCGTCCAGTGAAATCAAAGTGACCCAGGATATTTTAATTAGGAGTCTGCCCCCTTTTATTTAATACAAGTGACTGAAACAAAGCAGCTGATTATTATTATCATGATACATGAAGACATTTATTAAATAAATTCAATACATAAGCATAAACCACATTAGTCATAAACAAACATGAAATTAATCCCGCCAAGATTTATATGTATATACGCACTATATAAACCTTGACATCACATATGCATGTTCTATTATGATTTAATGGGCATCCTTATTCTTATACATCGAACACATTTAATTATATATATAACATAAGATAAAACATGATAATCTTATATATATATATATAACTTAATAAGTGGGAGGCTGAGCAGGAGCAGGAGGGGGAGGACAAACGCAAGGGCAGCATTCGCCTGGAGATGGAGGAGGAGCACAACACACACAAGCAGGACAAAAGGGCCCACCTGGATTAGTGCCTGCACCACAATTAATTCACAATAATACCTCAGTAATTCACTTATATATATAATTTGATGCTAAATTACTTTTCTTAATCCTGGTAATAGATTTATTTTTAATTTATTGTAGTATATATGGTTAACATTTTTCTTCCATTGGACCGCCTGATATATTCTAAGCTTGCCTCTCTACAACTATGGAGTTTTCAAACTAATTGATTTGGTTTGAAATGGATAAGACCACAAAAGGCCACAAAACTCTTTACTTATAATTGATGCAGATGGAACAAGCATTATATGATTTGTGAATGAAGTTAGTAGAATTCAACAGAATTTATAGTTATAAAAGATTAGCAGTAAGAAAAACTAAGTAAAAAAATAAAAAGGTCTAATCCATAACAGCATAAATATACATCTTTAGGCTAGTTCAGGAACAAAAATTGAAAATTGAATGGAAACCATGGAAATAAATAGCTATTCTTTACTTTGATTATTATATATCACAAACAAGTAAGAAGATCAACCACAATCTTGTTTTAAGCGAACTACTTTGGCCCCGAAAAAAATACAGTCTATCAAAATGAGCTTTAACAAAATAAGGATCAGTTATACGCCCCAAGTTATATAAAAGATTCACAACGAACATGATCGATTGAATTCTATGGATGATTATTAATGGAGAATATTATTTATATATATATAGATATTACATAATTAATTAAGGAGGTGAGCAAGTTTGATTTATTACCTGGGGGCACTGGAATTTGAGCTTCACAGGGCAAAGTTGGAGCTAACACCATAGCAAATATGAAAAGAGTCACCAAAGAACACCTCCAAGAACTGCTTCCCATTGCTTATAGAGAACAATAACAAGCAGAATATATAAGATGTTCAATTTTTTTTGGCCCGTTCTCTTTCAACTGAAAGAAGATGATAAGAATATATCAATATGAGGAAGCTTATTTATAGTGGTTCTTTTTAGGTATGCATGGCTTGCTTGTGCCGAGATATTTGAATTTAAATGTTGACATCTATAGCATGGTTCATAAATGTCAATAAAGGATTAGTTTTTTCTTCCCATAGTTAACAACTACCTCGGTTATAACATTGACAAAACTTGTGGGATAAATACACTTGAAATCTGAGTCTATCTAAACTCGATCTAGATTTTCAGTTTATAAATTGATATTTTGTGCAGGCTTCACAATTTTATATATATCTTCAATATAAATATTGTCGTCTCACATGATGTGGCCAGCTTGAAAATATATGGTTTTGAGACTGACCAGTATATATATGATCTTAATGAACCATCATTTCCTAGTTGAATCATTTTATTACTCAATCAATATTACATCAATATTAATTTCTTGCGGGGTTTATCAACTTCAATCAAGAGCTACCATAATTATAATATGAACTCTGAGATAATGAGCTCTAAATATCCCTTTCCCCAGTTAATTAATTAGTTCAACCATGAGAAAAAATTAATCAACAGTGCAATTATTCACATGAACTGGTCACATCATGATCAACCCCACCCTATATTTGCACCCTATTTTTAAATACCGTTTCCTATATCAGTGAATCAGGACCTCTTTGCTTAAGAGACAGATAAAAGTATATCTTTTTTTGGCTCAAATATTTTTTTTAAAAAAAAAACTAGCTATTGTCCCCTGCGTTAATTGAAAATATTGTGTTTTACCCTCATTAATTAAGTTAGCGTTACTAATACGCAACCACTATGTGAAACACATAATATGAGCATTTTCCTTTGGGAAAAAGGTTACACAATTTCAAATTTATTATTTTCAAAATTTTTAACACAAAACCGTGTTAGTTTGATAAAAAGAAATATTTCGTGTGTGACTGAAACTTTGAATTCAAGTTTTGACTGCAAAATTGGAAGTTGTGTTTCCTTAACTGATTACTCAGAACCAAACTTCCAATCTAAAATCGATCCACCGTGTTTTTAACATTTTTTCCTCCAATCCTTATACTACTGCAACTCAGTTCTTAATATAAGATCAAATTACCTAATGTGGGGAGACTAAGAAAACTAAAAAATACTTTAGTTATAGCATATGTTACATTATCTTAATACATTATCTTAATTTCTGAAATATTTATATGTACCATTAAATTATATATTAGTTTATAAGTTAGGCAAAATAGTTTGAAGAGTTATTTTTTAAATTCCTTAATCTCTCCAAATTAATCAACTATATGTTAAATGAAGGACCGGATTAGCAATATGTAATTTTTGAAATGCCCTCGCATTATTTATAGAACATATTTAGAGAATTTCAGAAATTTTAATCCCTATTAATTATATATCTTATTTCCTTTTTCTGCTGATTTGATCTCCCCCCCCCCCACTAGGATATTTTGGAAAATAAAATATAGTTTTTTACACATTTATTTCCTTTAATAAATTGTAACCAACTTTTTAGTCTTTATTTGTATATTATATAATATAAGTTTGGACGGAGTATTTTAATTAGCATTCTACCCATTCTAAACATTAGTGTTAGTTAATAGGAGTTGCTTTAATCCTAAAATATGTATTTATAATGATTTTATAGACTTCTCTGAGAGTGCAAAGGAACTTACGTTGTCCTTTTTCTTAAAAGTTGCAGCCGGCTTCAGCTTGGATTGAATAAGATGGGAGAAGATGTAACTCGGATATACTACGTCCAGTCCTTAATATAAGACTTTGTTTGATTTTTATTTTAATCCTAAATATAAGAACCCAATCCATTTTTTCTTTCATATTTATATATTTTTTCCTAAGGTAGTCTTTCTAATAATGGTAGTTTTAATCAATATACTTGATTAACAAGGATATTTTAGGAAAGACAATACCTATTTATTATAAATAATTAACTTAACTTATTTTCTTAATCTTCTTAAATTAGTCAACTAGGTCTTATAAATAGGACTGGAGGCAGTATTTGGGCTATTATTTTCAAGGCTAAAATATAAAGAACTCTCCTGAACTTTAAGCCGACTGCACTTTAACTCTCCTGGCATATTGACGTTTAAAATTAACCCCCTTAGTCTTTTGTTTTGTTTTGTTTTTTTGTTTTTCCTAGCCATAGAGCGTGCCTTTAGTTTTTCCGTTAGCTTATTAACTGAGACTGCCACATCATATTATGGTAAGGATTATGTGGCATCACGTGTGGCTAATAATTTTCCTCTCCTTTTTATAGGTGCCTTTTTTAGAAGGAATTTTTTTTATCTTTTTTATACTCGTAAGACTCTTTGATGGTTTCAATGAGCATTAAATTTTTTTCATATATGCTCATATTTAATAAGAGTAGTAACAGAATAAAAATTAATATAACATTAGAATTTAATTTAATTAATAAAGTTAATATTAAAAATCACTTGAATTTCATGGCAAATTAAATATTTTAACTGTTTTTATTTATACGTTTGAATTAGTTGGAATATTTTTATAATAAGGATGAGATGGAGTAATCCAAACACATACACCAATGATAACACATAGCACAAGATGTAATATTTTCTCTCATAAACTTTAGAGACAATGTTATGTATTCAACAAAACACATACAATACGTTGCAGCGAGAGTCAGAGTCCCACTGCCTCCTTTTATTTAATACAAGTGACTGAAACAAAGCAGATGATTATAATTATCATCATATAGAAGGACATATATTAAATAAATATTCAATCCATAAGAAATAAGCAAAACCACATTAGTCATAAACCCACATGAAATACTGCCAAGGTTTATATGTATATATGTAACCCTGACATCGTACATGTTCTTTTATGATTTAATGGGCATCCTTATTCTTACAGATTGAACACTACCTTTAATTATATATCTATATATATAACATTAGATAAAACATGACAATAATATATAATCATATGTGTGTGTAGGTGTAAATTTAGTAAGCCGGGGGCTGAGCAGGAGGAGGGCCAGGTTGTGGGCAAAAGCAAGGGCAGCATTTGCCTGGAGCTGGAGGAGGCGCACAACACTTGCATCTTGGGCATACGGGAATGGGAATTCCTGCAAAACACACGAAATAATTAAGCTCAACCATATTTTGATCTTCTGAAATTAAGTTAATGAAATGTTATTAAAATGTACCACTTCCTGTTCTTAATATAAATACTGGATCTCCCAAGTATATAATTTTTTTTCAAAATATTCCTATTTGTTGTACTTGTTAAAAGATTTGATCAATGATACTCTCGGTCCTTCTTAAAAGATTGTTTTTATGACTAAATTATGCGGTTTAAAAAATTATTAAAATTAGTTAAAAGTAATAAATATGTAAAAAAAATTAAACATTCTTTCGAGTATGTTCTTATTTAATGTGGGGAGCAAATAAGAGAGAGAAATGTTAGTAATGAGATAGAAAATAAAAGAAAATGTAGCATGAGAAAAAAAGATGAGGAAAGAGAATAGATTAGGAGTAAAATTAGTAAAACTGTATTTAATGCTCAGATGCCCCTGAATAGGATCTCATGAAATGGACAAAACCAATGCAAATTTTGGGATCTTATAAAAAGGATCAGAGTGAGTAATTTCAATGTGCATAACTAATAAAGATATTTAAAAGAAACTAAGAATATTTATTGCAACTAACTAACTCAACTAATTTCTCCTCAAAATGAACTTAACATGAAGGGATAATTGCAATTTGCAGAACAAACTAGATCTTATAGTTGGGATTAGAGGTAGCATTTACAAATAAATTATCTAATTCCTACACTAAAGACCAGAGGTGATACTATATATATATATATATATATATATATAAATGCATGATGGAACGGGAAGAAATAATTAAAAATAGGATTTAATTAATTACTTGGATGTGGTGGCAGCGTTGGAGCTGGTCCTCCTGGGCCTGGTGCCGGCTCAGTTGCTGCTTCGCACAGCAGCAAGGTTGCGGGGGAAGAGATCATCGCAAAGATGAAAAGAGTAACCAAAGAAAGCTTCAAAGAGGCCATTTTGTTAACAAACAAAAGTGGATGTCTGTATGAAGGTTTTGTTATATGTGACAGATTAGTTTGATGGTGGCAATGTAAGCGAGCATATATGCATGTATATATATACTGGTTATGCTCAAGTTCATGGCTTCGCGTTTGCCGCAATATTTGAATTTCAAGCGTTGAAAGTACTTACTTATTACAGTCGTACTTTTCCTCTGACAAAAAAAATAATGCATCTGGCTTGACGTGTTATTTATTTTCACCCCCCATTACGTAACGCTGACTTTAATCCATTTTATCATGCGTGTCTAATTAATTCACATGTATTAATGAAAATAATTTAAAGTACTAAATTTCTCATGGAATTAAAGTAATTTTTAATATTATTTTTATTAATCATACTAAACTCCAGCATCATGTTCCTTCTTGTCTTGATTATAAGAGACTACTACTACTATTTTGTTTTTAATATAACTTACTTGTATTACATTCTTGTATACCAAGGAATGTATTAAATTGATAAGATTTTCTAATTTTGTCCTTATTAAAGTTCTCTCTCTACATTTACAAATTATTGTTATATCTCTCCATTCTTTATTTCATTCCAGTGAAAATTAAATAAGAATAAAGTTGAAAAACAAGGATTAAATATACTACAAATAACTTACATTTAGGATTAAAACTTTTTTCCTACAAGGAACTTACATTTAGCACTAGAGTGGGACTAACTAATTCACACATCTAAATAAAAACAGTTAAAAGCATTAAATTTTGTCATAAAATTCAAGTAACTTTCAGTATTATCTTCATTAAAAATACAGTAAATTCTAATATCATATTAACTTCTACTCTCTCACTACTCTTATTAAATATGGGCATATATGAAAAAAAAAGGAAAAAAAACTTAGATTAAATTTTTTATATATTTATTATATCAAGTTTTCCAATCATATATGGACATGTATCCATTTTGTTTCATGTAGATTTATAATTAAATGCTAAGATTTTAAAAATAGGATACATGATCTTATATAATTGAAGAACTTTACACAATAGATATAGGTAATTGTAAGTATTGCGCAATGCGCGTTATAAAATGGGTTGGAGGGAGTAACTTATTGATGTTCCTTACGCATAATGCAAAAAATTTCCAAATTTTTATGATCAACCTATCCGTACGTGTAATTAATATAAAAAAAATTTGAGATTTTTTTTAATAACCTTATCATTTAAGAAATTTATTATATAGAAATAAAAATGTCACGTATATCATGGGGATAAAAAATTTAAATGAAGACAAGAGAAAATAATATTTTATATTTAGGAGAAATCCAAAATCCTTAAATAAACTTTATATTTAGGACTGGAAAATGGATGGAATGGCTATTTTGAAATTACTACCTCCGATCCTTAATATAAGACCCCGTTTGACTTTTTGTTTGGTCCTAATTATAAGATCCCAATCCATTTTTTCTCTCATATTTATGCCTTTTTTCCAAGATAGTCCTTCTAATAATGATAGTTCTAGCCAATACACTTAATTAGCAAGGATATTTTAGGAATGAGAACACTTATTTATTACAAATAACTAACTTAACTTACTTCCTTAATCTCCTCAAATAAGTCAACTAGGTCTTATAATTAGGACCGGAGGTAGTATGATAAAAGCACTATTTATTTGTTGACAACTAGCATTAATTAGTGCAGTGAAAAGCGGGGAAAGGGTCGTCTTCTTTGAATTCAAGCCACTTAGCCAACTTGGTAGATCCTTTTATTATAATTACGACGTAGTACTCCCTCCGGTTTTTATTATAAACGTTAAATAACTAATTCATGAATAATAAATAATTAATTAAAATTAGTTAAAAGCAACAAATATGTTAAAAATGTAGTTTTTTTTAAATATATCATTATAATAAATAAGAAAAAATGAAAGAAAATGCATGAAAAATGTGATAAGAGAGCGTAGCAAATGAAAGAGAATAAATAATTAAGAGTAAAATTAAAAAAAAAGCATCAAATATTTAGATAAACCCAAAATTAAAGCAAACTATACCCCTCTGTAAATTTAAAGCCTATAAATAAGATGTAGGTTCTAATCAATTTTCATTTGGAATTCTATTCTTTTCGAAATGAAGACATTACTTTGATTTTTCTTTATATATATATATATATTTCAGACCAACAGAAAATGAAAACATTCAAAAAATGCATTTAATTTATTTATTTTTTATTAATTTTTAAAAATACAAGAAGATGCATATACTACTGGTAACGTTTTTGTGTAGACAACTATAACATTTTTGTTTCAAAACCATATACTTCCTCGTATGTTTAAAACTCATTTTGTAGCTTAAATTATATAAAGTGAGTTTTATATTTAGACCGGGAGGAAAAGTATTACAATTGTTAGCCCAGATTTAAATATTATCAAACTTATATATATATACACACACACACTCAATGTCTCATGCCACCAATTGCAAATTTTTTTAATTCAATTTGATTTACGAGCGAGGGAGTTGAGGAAATGAAGCCAACGACGGGCCGGGTGAGATCAAAATAGAAGTTAGAAAAGACACTTCAGATTTGCTGTCTTAATTTCAATTCATTCAAAAAAGACACATGATTGTAACCAGCATATAAATTTTTGGAAAAACCCTCAAAAGCTAGTATTTGAGGTTGGAGGCCCTACCAAACATGGAACTCGTCATGACAATATATAAAACACCCCTCGAGAACTCGAACTTGGATTCTCTCTACTACCTTTCCATCCTCTTCCCCTCCACTACCTTTCTTTTCTCTTCACAACCATTGGATCAAAATTCCAATGGTCCAGATTTAACATCTTATAAAAATAATGTTATTAAAAAAAACAAATAAATAAATTTAAATTGTTAAAATCTGATCTGAACAGTTTAAAATTATAATAAAAAAATTTAAAAAAATTGCTCTATAATAACAGTCTGTAGTTGTGAACTGTTCAGATTAGATTTTAACAGTTTAAATTTATTTATCTATTTTTTATCATAATATTTATTTTTATAAAATGTTATAAAATATTAAATATGGACTATTGGAGTTTTGATCCAATAGTTGTGAAGAGAAAATGAGGGTGGTGGAGGGGAAGAGGATGGGAAGGGTAGTGGAGAAAATCCAATTCCCGAGAACTCACCCTCTGGTGACTCCGCACCACAATAGTCCACTTAACCTCTTGTGAGTCGATCCCTTCAGACTTTAGTCAAAACCTTCCCGGGTGGTTTTTGGTAGTTAGCTGGTTCTTAATAAAAGTACCAATGCATCTAACAAAAGTCCTTACAAAAACCTACAACCCCAAAAATTAACTGTTTGCACTGGGGAGTCTAAAACTTGTTTGGTACAAAGTATTGAAAATGAGGAGTAAGGATTAAGATTATAATTTGAAAAATATGTTTAAAAAAGTATTTAATATGAGGGATTGCTTGATAATTGGAATTCAGCAAACTCATATATATGTAATTGGGGAGGTGGAATTCTCAAATCCCACTCACATGAGATTGTCTAATCTCATATAACAAGAAATTACTTATACTAGATACTCTTTAATGATTTCTTTTGCAATCCCAAACTCAGTCTTTCTTTGATTCTCAATACTTTCTACCAGGCGGGAGCTATAATGTTGCTCTTTTCAAGTGATCTTCTCAATGTGAAGCTCATAAGAACAACTATCTCTCTCTCCCCCCGCCCCACATCTAGACTCTAGAATTACTAGAAGAAATTTTAAATCCCCGTGTAAAACTAAACTAACCCAAATCTCAAGCAACGGTGCGTACGTCATAAACACATTTTCAAACCCAACTTTCTCAAAGTCCCTTAGAGAATAATAAGCTTGGTGGAAGTTGGCCTAATTCCATTGTTGCACAACACTTAACTTAATTGCCACCATTAAAGGCTTAATTTGCTGGAGATAATACCCAATAAAATGAAATATGCAGCAAAGATAATCATCTTTCAGGTATTTATTTGACCAAAGACTTTTTATGCATGTTTAAGATTTTCAAATAGTACCAACTGTACGTAGGTCGGCTTGAAAATGCAGAGAGATGCCAGGAATAATAATTCTTTGCGTGCCCATTTCTTGAAGGAATGATAAATCCATCATCAAAGTACAAATATAATAAGCGTGTTGACTCTAAGCTTGAGTACGTGATTGGGATTTCAATCAAAGCCAACCAAATAAGCCAGCTCGGCTAGAATAATTGAACAGAAATTATAAACGAGTTTTTCTGTTTACAATTTAAACGGAACATATACATAGATACTATACACATATACATTGAATCTTTTTTTTTTTTTTTACCTGAATATATGTCGAATCGTTTGTGTAATATTTTCAATTGAAATTTTGATGTGTTGATGTTGTCCATGCTGTTGTTATACTAGTTCTATATGATTGCAGATGTTCAAATGAGGAATGGACGTGAACACAATTTTAAAAAAAGAACAATTTAATTAAGGAATTAGTCATAAATTAGAACTGACGTGATAATTGATTGATTATGGCATCAATTGCTTTATAAGTTACGCGAAAATTACCAACGTGTGCTGCATCTCATATGCTATCATGAAAATGCACAATTATATAACTGTCGTTAATATAAGAGCACAATAACTAATTTGTAAATATTAAAAAAATTAGTTAAGTTAGTTATTTGTAATAATTAAATATTGTCTTTCCTAAAATATTCTTGTTAATCATGTGTATTAGAATAAAAACTCTTTAACATATACAGCCACCAAAAGGACTACTTTGGGAAAAAGTAAGTAAATATAGGAGACAGTATGTCATACACCCATTTGATTCTTGGTTTTTTTTTTTGGGATTAAAGCTATCTTAAGTCACTGAAATTTAAAATAAGTGATTTTGGTTTCTGAAATAAGGTTTTAAGGACAAAAAAATCTTCATGTGAATCAAAATGAGATCAAATTTTAAGGACTAAAACTATTGGTTTCAAATTTTAAGAACCAAAATTAAAATGATGTCAAACTTTAGGGGCTAAAGATTATTTTGACAATTTTTTTTCAAATTATTTTAGTAT